AATTGATTAGGACTAGAGGGTTAATATCGCATCGCCGTTTTTAGGATTTAAGTAAAATCTTTTTTATTCATGTTTATACATTTTGATAATCGAGAAAGATGAGCACTGAACTGAATTAATTTTATATTCAAAGCTGAAATTCAGGACTAACTACAATTTTGTACAGTAATTATTCTGCGCTATTTAGTAGTACTAGAATACACTTTACTAATGGCACGTTCAAATAAACAATATATCGGACCGTTCTAGCATACTATCTTCATACCATTTTACACAACAAATTGGACAAATGCTTTACCGTCTTGGATTTTAAATTTTAAAAGTTTAACAAAAGCTTAAAAAATATTTATCATAAGAGTAAAAGTGTGTGTTTCAAAATCATTCATAGAAAAATATATCAATACTATAGTATACTTGAAGAAATAGATACATGTGTATAAAGATAATTAATAAACAGCATACTTAAATGATATAACTGAACACAAACATTTGCATACAGCCATCATATCTTACTTCGATTTCGAGGGGAAAATTACACAAATGGATAATTGACGATTTAATATAGTAATAACCTACAGGGTAACATGTGAAGATGCATGAATATTTTTATGCACAAAATAATTAAATATATTGTAAACGAATAAGTGAAACAGTAGTATATCGATGGTATGCTAGTTCAAAAACACAGCAAGTCCTAACAAAGTAAAATCGAAGTGAAAGAAAATCCAACTCTTTGTTATAACTAGCAAAATATATTCTTTTAGCAAACGTATGGCAAATTAATGGGCATTCGTGTTAAATATATGAACAACTAACTTTACAATGTTGGAAAAAAATCACTTATTATCTTTAACTTCAAATATTTTCTACGGCGTCGAAAAACAAATGCTGGGAAAAAAAATATATAATAACGAAAAATAAACCAAAAAGTTATGTTTATATATATATGTTTGTGCCAAATGTTCAAAACATATGATTAAGTAATTGTTTTTTCTTTAATTTCGAAATTTGATCAATTGTTGTGTATTTTAGTTCTGTCCCCATTACCCCTTACTCTATGTTACAATCATATATATTGATGTAATTCAAAAAGTTAAGCACACGCTTATTTCATTTTCAAAAATGCTTTATATATTTCATTACAGTAAGCCTAGACTGGATTTGTTTATTGGATGATTATTTAAAACTGTAAGAACCAAAAATCGCCTAAAAAGAAGATTTATGCTTTTGGACACTTTGTAAAACAGCTGAATATATTTGTCTGTTCATCTCTAATAAGCAGTAAGATAATGTAAGACAGAAGATTTACTGTAATTAATTACTTTAAAGATCAACTGGAATTTCCGTTACGTCATTGAAACTTATTATAAAATTTGAGACAAGCAGATGTCTTTGTTTTAATTCGAGTTCAACATTTTTGACCGAAAAAGGAAACAATAAAAAGGAGAGGTCACGAAATGATATACCCGATAAGATTAAACAATAAAGTGTGAATAAATCTTTACAAAGTACGATGACGTTCTATACAAAAATACAGACAAAGTTTAGTTTTTGTTTAATCATTTGACAAAGATTCTTTGTTTTAAATTTAAACCTCGGAGATAAATGGCCTGTAAAAGCCATATGATATGTCATGGGACATAATTTTTAATTTTAAATAAGATAAAGACTATTGAAAATTTTACAAAGGTGTTTGCAAAAAGATGGAATTTAGAGATAAGTGTTGTAAGGTCTAACTTAGGGCTTCTACAACGAGCCAAATTACACCCAACATAACAAATTAGAAGTTATTCTGCTGTTTGATTTGAACCTCTTACTGGATGATAAGGATATGAAGTTTTGTAAATTTACATAAGCTTAAATTTAACTTTCTAAAATAGTTGAGCTTGGATTATTTTCGGCGAACCTGTTTATAGACTTATTGGGGTTTTATCTATTTATTGGGGTTTTGCATGCCGTCTCAAAAGTTTTATGATTATGGTATTCCAATGTGTAATGTATTCGAGCGTACTTGTTGAAGGTTTCATGCACTCTGACACCAATTTCATACGTTCTTTTTTATATATTGAATTTGAACCATTGTTTTCGTCTTTGTTATATATATTTTCCACTGTATATTTTCTTAATAAACAGTCAGCTACCGTACAATCATTTCTCAAAACGTGTTATTTCTATCAAAACGTCGTTGTTAAGGCGGTATTCATTAAACTGGTTAAGCTACATTTTTATTGTTATAAGCTAAATAATATTACTTTTAATGAATTGATTGATCATATATACAGAAAACCCTATAATTGAATGCCTGCTAAACGCCTTCACCAGGAACGCCCACTACCAGTAAGCTAAAGATACATGGGAGGGTATAACCAAAAGGTACCTTATCAATATGCAATAATATTTACACCTTTCCACAGATATATATTTACTTTGAGACTGCTAGTATTTGTCGTTTTATATTGTATAAGCGTTATTGACTATCTGTTAAATTGGATGCATTGATATTGTATGGAAGTATACAGATACAGTTTTCGTGTTTAATATAAAGCATAACTATTATGTTAATTAATATGCATCTGATTAAGTAGTCATTACTCTATCTTTGATTTTTTTCAGTTTGTTATATACTTTTTATTTTATATAGTTAACAGTAGAAGAGGAATCAGTTTGCTCCATACCTCCCTTGTTCTAAAATCTACATTGTTGTATCAATTATATCAGTTATTTTGATTATTGACAGACTTGACAATGTTTCAATGTTGCTTTTCGATTATACCATACAAAAAACAACTATGATACTGGTTTAGAAATAGTTTATTAAATTGTTGATTTTTATAGAGTTCATATATACCTGTTTTTTTTCTGTTCCATATAAAATGAAGACTGGTGTATAATTAAAATCATAGATTTTAATTTTTAGAAAAGCAGTAATAAATAGAATGTTATCAAACCAGTGTATTATACTTGTGTTTTTAGTAATATATTAACCATGGAGCTGGGTTTCGGTAAATTTTGCCAATTATGACTACACTATATTTATAAATGTTACTTCATTTAATATTTGGTGTACATGTATTCAAATATAATAGATCAACATATTGTGTACATTGTCCAGCAGTTATTGTCTGAATGGGAAAACATCTTTTTCTTCATGTTAATCACCTTTTAAAAAATATGCTTTCAAATGTAATTGATAGAAATTTCAGTAAATTTACCATTTTAGTTAATTTCAATGAATTTGTAGCATGACCTTATATATTGTACACATTAAGTTCAACCTAGGAGCTCTAAAAAGTTATATTCCAATCAATAATATAAATCAAAAGGCTTCATAGACGGCCCTAATTTTTATCGGAATATTTGTTCCTTGTTAAGCTTCTTTTTTAAAAGAAGAATTAAAAAAAATAATTATTTGTATGTACAGTTTTTTTTTATATTAACATCTGTTTGGTCAGGTTTTAATTGTTCAGTTCAATCAGAAAATCTCTGTAATTCAAGGTTTTTTTTAATGTCAACCTAAATTTTCAATTCTTTTAATTTTGTTACATGATTCTGTCTATAGAAAAAAAAAAAAAAAAATCGAAAAAGTACATCGGTTGGTATTCATGCCACAGATGTGAGACAAAGGTGTGATTGCGACTGCTAAAATAAGATTTTCTTGTGACAATTTGTATGTTGTCTGGTTTTTACGTGGGTATATAGATACTTTTTGTATTTCAACATAAAACACGTTGTGAAAATCTTTTATATTATCTCAGTCAGGCTTGCAAATGTTAAGCCCGGGGTCTGTATGTGCATAATTTCTATTCAAAACCAGTGACATTTGGTAATTTGATATAGTTTAAATGCAGACGAAACGAATACCTGGGGTATATCAACTGCATCGAATAGGTTCTTTGTAAAACACATTTTTTATTAGAAAAGGTCAATGCATATTAGTTTAAATTCATCAAATCTCCTCCCTGTATCGATATAAATTTAACAATACAAAAAGAAATTATTTTGATAAACAAAAATAGGAACAAAAATAAACTATGCATGCTCTGTATTTATATGGTATTATTTGATAACGTAAACTATTCTTATCGTCTGCCCTAGGTCGAACAATGTCAAGAGTCGGGTCCTGATCTTAAGTGAATCGTTGCACATAAAGTAAATTTAGATAAATAGGTGATACGAAACGACATTGCACACTTTATAAAATAAATACAAGTAGAAACTTATTATTCAACACATACTTCCTGTCGTTTTATTTAATCTATTCCTCAGAATAATATTAAATTTTTATTATGCAATTTGTGCAGCAGTTTGCAGTGCTGGCTAGGTTAATACACTGAGCGAGTCAGGTCATGACCTCATTTGAGGCAATGTTACGCAAACATATCAGACGCAGTCTCGATGAAATTCAAGTAAATAACCCGAACAGAAAGGTCATACATACAGGTTTATAAAATATTACAAATTCTTCTTATTTTATTTATTAACATACTAGTTTGCTACAAACACAATTAAATAAATGTGACAGCGAACGACAAAAGTAAATTAATTAAGATTTGTTACATTCGTTTTGTTTATAGAATATGTCATCTCATGTCTCGGTTCTAGCAGACGACACAAGTATGTGCAGTTGGTAGTATGTTGGATAATATTATTCAATAACAATCTGACTCGTCGTCTTTCTCGTGTCGATAATCATTTTCCCTCCTCCTAAACCTATACGGATTGGACCAAAAACATTGATGACCTAGGGCAGATTACGAGTCGCTGAAAGTGTGCGCAGGAATACGTGATTGATTATTGACAGTCGAGCTGTGTATAATAAATGAAGCGATCGACCAATAGGAAAAGCAGTTGAAGTGCAGCGGTTATGCCCTCCGTGGTTGAGGGCTTTGACCAAACGACAGCAATGTGTCACTCACTAATATATTTCATGAACCTAAATGACACCACACTCCTTATATGGAACACAACCATTGAAAATCTTTAGTTTTAATGCTAGTGTCAGAGTTCAAACCATACGGAGTACTCCTCTAGGCCACCCACTCCATACAAGAGAAGAGATCGCGATTACTCCGCGTTCAAGTCACTAAGTGTTTCAATATCTGTACACTTTTAGACTCTGATTATATTTACGATCCGACACATGCCAAAAGGTTGCTTCCTGGACTTCGCATAGAACAAATAATGATAATATTTGGAGTACCAAGGAAATTCTTTAGAGGATAACACTACTTTATAATAAAGAAGTCGGAGATGACATACTCTTAACAAAGTTATAGTGTACCATTAGTAACATCTTGTGTGACATAACCTTTGACTTACATTGCACATTCTAATTTTAAAGTATAAATGCAACGCAGTGTTTAGTAATGGCGTTGAACGGAACACCTCCACACGTTGTCACTGCTTGGCCAAGGGATCCAACTGAAGACATGGGTCCAACGACTCCTACGGCAGCTCAGACTCCAGTCCAATCGGTGCCTGCAGTTCCATCAGCAATTGTGGAATCCTCAGCGTCAGTGACCCAGTCTGGACCTCCGGCACCCCAGACACAACAAACGACGACGAATGGTTCTATGTCAATCACAAACGGATCTACAAATGGTTCATCAACACCAGAAAATAAGCAACAACAAATAGAATGTGTTGTATGTGGTGACAAAAGTTCGGGAAAACATTATGGACAATTTACTTGTGAAGGATGCAAAAGTTTTTTCAAACGATCCGTTCGGAGAAATTTGAACTATACTTGTAGAGGAAGTCGGAACTGTCCTATTGACCAACACCATCGAAACCAGTGTCAGTATTGTCGTCTGAAAAAATGTCTGAAGTCCGGAATGAGGAGGGAAGGTAGGTGCCGTTCGACATCCGACCCAGTCTACTACTCAGTTATCCCTTACAACAACCAGCCTGGCGCAATTTATTCAAAAGGTTAAAATCATTGTTTTCTCATATTTTCACTTTAGAATTTAAATTTTATTTAATTTTTCTTTTTTGCAAATTTAGTTAATTATCTTAAAAGAGGAACATGTATTATTTAAACAAATAATATATATTCCTTAAGATAAACTAAAAAAATTCTTTGAATAATTTTCTAAATTTTATTTTCTCTTTTTAATAAATTTTTGAATTTGATCAGAAGGAAGTAACTGAATGATCTTTGCACATTTCCAGTATCGATGTCCTTGATATCGCAAAGTCCAGAGATAAACAAATTTTCCTTTATCTTCTTTTATTATAATAAATGTTCTGTCTGTATAAGGATAACTGTTTAAATGTTTTTGTTTGATGGTCAGAATTTGTGTCCCTGTCATATTCATCTTCTTTATGTGTGAATAACTTTAACGTTATGAAGATCGGGCATTATTTACATTTTTATTGTGTAATTTAACATTTATTTCACATTTGCCTCATTTACCTCTAATTATCAATAACCAGTCTTCCGTCACACCACCTCTTTTTTAACACTTGCCATTAAAATACATCAATAATTTTTATCTTAAAAAAATTACCATATAATGATTTATTAGATTTCATTTAAAAGTTTTGCACCAGTTTTGTCAAATGTTGTCATAGTTATGCAATAGCCAGACAAGGTTTATTTACATTTGTATAAGTTTTATAATACATTTTATTTAAATATCGCTATTGACATTTTTTCGTCTGAGTGCGTGACGTTGTGACCTTTAATCGTTAATCTCGACCCAGACAAACCGAAAGCAGGTGTTTCCCAATACCTTTTTCACAAGTATTGACACATACCTATCCACCAATATGTAACATTTTCTATGATATTCTTGAAAAAAACATATCTTTACAACATTTGCTTTGTTTTATACATTAAAATTGAACTATTAATCTGAAAACCACCTAACCTATAATTTAATACACACCAACCTTAGGTGACCTCAACCCTAACTTTTCAATGTGGTTATACTTTTACATGTTAATTTTGACAAGTTCTGTAGTACATGTGCATGTATATAACTGCAGTGTGTATTTGCCATGAGTCAGACCTATATTAACCTTTCGAAGATCTTTTCAGGATCATTGATCGCTCATGTAACAGTTGCATCTATGTACTTTATATTTAAATTATCGACATTTTGAGAGATTTAGATGTCACATATTTCGTATACATATGTGTATGTATGTGTTTACACATCGAGACAAAATAAAAAAAGTGTACATATAAATAAAACAAAATAGGAATCTTGTACTAAAAAATCTAAGTAGTCATAATTAAACAGACAATTAACCATTTCCTATTTTTTTCAGCTGTCCAAAGAGGACGAATACCCCCTACCCAGCATCCTTTCCCAGGACAAATGGGATATGAGAATGGTTTTCCACTAAATGGACATACTTACCTTTCAAGCTTTATTTCTATGCTATTGAGAGCAGAACCCTATCCTACGTCTCGATATGGCCAATGTATGCAACCCAACAATATAATGGGAATTGAGAATATTTGTGAACTTGCAGCCAGACTGCTTTTCAGTGCAGTAGAGTGGGCTCGCAATATTCCATTTTTTCCCGACTTGCAGATTACAGATCAAGTAGCTCTACTCCGTCTAAGTTGGAGCGAACTATTTGTATTAAATGCGGCACAGTGCTCTATGCCTTTGCACGTGGCACCGTTGTTAGCCGCAGCAGGACTTCATGCCAGTCCTATGGCTGCAGACAGAGTTGTAGCTTTCATGGACCACATAAGAATCTTTCAAGAGCAAGTGGAAAAATTAAAAGCCCTACACGTTGATTCAGCCGAGTACAGCTGTTTGAAAGCAATAGTCCTTTTTAGTTCAGGTAAGAATAACACTTTAGAAGTTATAACATGTTTCTTTGTTCATGTCTATTGTATAATCTGACGTTTGAAGACGGGTGATTGTTAAAGTTTTTGTTTTTAAATTTCATCATTCGGGGCTTGTTTTATTCATCAAAATAGAAAAGATAAAATGACGAAACCATCTAGTATGATATGATACTGATATGAAATATAACATTTCTAAAGAGACAAGTTGAATGAATAAAGATATGGCACTTCATTAATTAACGTTAACCTATAGACCACAAAAGTTAATGGTCTATGGTCATTCAGGTGATTCAGATAATTTTCCTTCGAGTCTAAATACAGATTTCCTTTGCCCTGATATGTGACAAAACAAATTCGTTATATTAAAAAAGAAATCGTGTTTGACCTTTATAAGTATTTAACATATGGGAATAATATTGATAAAAAATACGTTCTAATATAAATATTCTGAACGCTATCGCAGCCTAATTCCTGACTTGTCTATTAATGTAGTGTAACGTATCTTCTGATAGCAGATTTAGTTTTAATTAATGATTAATTTGATTTAGTTATGTGAACTGATGTTGGTCTTTTCGTCGTTATAATTATGGTGCTGTCTGTTTATATTTTCGATTTTTGGGTTTTGATTTCTTCCTTGGTATCTTTTATTTTGTTATAACAAAATTGTGTAACTATGGTTAAGACATGCATATTTTGATATTTTTATTTTTTATGTAATTTTAGATCGAAAACCCGAGTCAGTTCCGTCCCAAAGGCACTCTATGAATGGTTACAGTAAGTATTTTAAATGTTGTAATTACTGTAGTTTTTGTATAGAACTAGGTATGCCTACCTTGATAGTTAAACTTTACATATTCCGTTAAATATATATATTTTTTTTAATCTTTGTGACATCGTTTTAATTGAATATGTTATATCATATTATTGCATTTCTATTTGAGAGAGCCAGTAGATTGTGTCTTATATTTGAATTACAAGTGCATCTCATTTAAAACAAATATGAAGCAAGACATTTGTTTTAAAAATTTTAAAATGTAGTTCACAAACATTGTTGAATAAAAAGTATCAACAAAATTAATCAACGAATATTAAACCTTTCCTTTTTAAATTTTAATGAATGTACAACTCGGCTCGTTTAAAAATAAGGATTACAGAAACCCTCATTAATATAGTTTTTAAATGAAGGGAATTGAATGGCATGGAATTTCTAAAATCATTTAGATATTTTTATTTCCCTTGTGCCATTTTTAACAGAAAATTGTTTCTATATTCATGAAATATTTTTCAAGTGTTGAACTGTATCAAGTGAGCATAATACAAAATTAGGTTTCTAAATATATATTACTGTATTTGTTGGGAACCTACAATACAAGTATTGCACTAAGAAGTCCTTATTTGATAATTAGTATTAAAATTTATAACTTTTGCACAAATGAGCAAAATTATAAACTGGAAAAAGACAAATATTCAATTAATAAAATCGAAATCAAAGTCTGATTGATATAAATTTCCCACGGTTTTTAACCGTGACAATCAAACCATGTTAACAGGAGCATGATTTCCGATGTATCTCTTGTTATCTTCACTATTTAGTGTTAGTTATCTGATAAAACAAAGCAGATTTTTTATTGTCCGATATAAGATTAAAAAAACCAACAGACAGTTTATTTTTTTTTATTCATGAAATATATTGTAAATTAACTACTATAGATTCAACCTCTGAGGAAAAGTTTAATAGTCTTATTAAAAACTCAGTAAATAAACTCATCATAGATACCAGGCTTAAAATTTTGTAAGCAAATGACATTAAAGTCATATTTTTATATTAATTCACCAGCTACTACATTCTCACTCCCCTCTATCGTTCCCTGATGATATTTTAATAAAATAAATAAAAATCGAAAGTCAGCAAAGAAAATGTGATAACAGCAATTAGATATTAAATTCCAAAATTACTGTAAAATGAACTTGTCACTATAAAATGAAGCATGACTTTGAAAAATATGTTCTTATGTCTTTCACTACCAGAGCACAATATATTTACAAGTATAAAACAACATCCTCAAATTCTTCCAATAACTCCATGATCATCGATGCTTTTGATTGACACTTGAAGATTCTATTCAATTTGGATTTTCTCGGTACATTTCATGGCTGTCCATCAATTAGAATGACCATTAAATGGACTGGCAATGGGCTGTGACCAATAGATTCTGAATCAATTTTAATAAATTACCGGTTATAAATGTCAGTGTACATTTCACTTAATTTCAAAAGATTCATTTTAGTTTCATATAGTATCTAAATTGTTATTTACCAATTGTGTATTATTAAGAATAATTATACTGATTTGATTTAAAAAATAATTTATCCGTTCAGTAAATGTTTTGTTTGATATCAATTAATTTGTGTTTTGGAATATCATATCTGGATTATAAAACACAATATCAAATTGGAAGTCTTTCAGTTTCTTTAAATTTCGCTTTGTCGACGATCATCAAGAAAATAGATTCAGTAAAATTGAAACAACAAAGTGATGAGTTTTAATGGTTAGTTGGGTCTAGAAGGATTGTGCTGGTATGGAAGCTCGAAGTTTTCAACAAAACGAATATCAATATACAGTTCATTTATTCAACATTTATTATAAACAAACATAATTTTGTCATCATATAATTGTTACCGTAGCATTTTAATAGCCAAATGTTCATACGAATATAGTACACATTATATGTAAAAGTTGATTACTTACTATTGGGGAGTTTAAAATTACAAAGGAATATTGTAATAGATTGACAGTGGGTTTGAAACGAATATTCAGTAAACAGAACTAAAATTAGTAGACATAATGAATTCACAGGCGACGTTTTAGTTAGGCACTGATTTTTAAGCAATGTGCAATGTTTATAGTTTCATACACATAGTGCAAATTGCTCTGAGGCACATCTGACTGTTTGGCATAGGTCCAGATATGCAACTAAAATACATCTCGTCTTGACGATTACGTGAGCGATGTTATGTCAGAGTTGAACCGTTGACAAGGAAGAAAGGTGCACTTAAGGTCAAGATGGTAGAGAACCTTCCTCCTTTTACATCATAAGCAGCTACCATATGTTAAACTTATATAATTACCTAAACAAATTTCGTTTTAGTCTGTGTAATATTTCACACATGAAAAGACTTTCTATGAATGAAAACATTTGTTACTTGTGAATCCACCTTGAAGATCAAGGCAGACTTTGTGTTTTGTAAATCTATGAGGTTCTTTGTTTGAAAGTAGGTATAAATAAATTGTTGACAAATTGCTACAGTTTACTAAATAAAAGTTGTTTTTATGTAAAATAGTTTTCATCACCTTCTTTCTATGTCCAACTGTGAGCTGTCAGTTAGATTTTCGGGTTAAATATTTGTATTACTAAACATATGTAATGTTTTTCTTGACGGGATAAATATTCAGCAGGGAGTGCTTGAAACTGCAGTAATTGCGCCAACATTAAAATATCTTTTATTATGCAGACATCTGACTGCACATTTAGATATGTGTTTATGCAGTTTTTGAAGTGTTAAATAGGTCGACAATTTAAACATGGAGATAAGTTTTTGTGTGTGTAAAATAAGGTTCCAACGGGTTAAATTTTTACTTTATATAAATATTATCAGTTCATTAAAAACTCTTATTTAAAAATACATTTTATAGAATTATTTTAAACATATATCTCATAATGTCATTCTGATATCTTTCATAATGAAGGTCTTAAATTATGGACAATATATAGAAGGAAAAATTCTATAATACAAAGTAAATTTGAGAAAAGTGTCTTAAAATTTGAGTTGCATAGTTACAATGAACAGGAAATAAATCGTCTAAATGCAAAGTCATTAAAATTATTGCAATGAATATTCTGTTTTACGTGTTGTGTATTTCTTATCCGTGTGTCTCGAAGTTACACTGAGTCGTACAAAATGTAAACTATATTTAAAACAACAGGCCAATAAGCAGGTCAAAGTGTAAAATTATCTCTAACCAGGAAGATGAAACGTAGAAGAAAATGTGTAAAGAAATCCGCCAAGTTGTAAAAGTATTGTTTTAACGCTGATCAAAATGAAAATAAATATTGATACATTTTTTAATGTTAAATAAAGTCCCATTTGTATCCGTATTATAACTAGACTTCTAAGATATGAACATCGGTAGTCTACAGTAGCAGGCCAAGTGACACAAAATCACAAAGACAAAATGTGGCTAGAAAGACTAAAATATTTTTACATTTCAGGACAAAATGAATTATTCAACAAAGAATACCAAAAATGTAAACAAGTTTGACATCAAAAATACTGTTACAACAGCAGGTCGAAGTGTAACAATCCTTTAAATGAAAACTAGGCTTGATATTTGTTTATGTTGGAATTTAAATTCCTATAAATCCTTATTATTCTTTTACGAAATTCTCAGCTTACAATTTATCAATAATCCCCAAGTCTTGTCCTTTTCAGTCCTGGTAGACACTCTGTAGTTGGGCCTTTTCAGTATATATATGTTTGTTCACGTACATTCGGCAAATCCGGGATCCATCGCGTAGATATGATATAGATACTCAAAACCTCTCAAATCACAGACACACGTTCACTTTATCAATAAAAATAACCTGAAATGATCAATTATCTTTTAAACTTTTTAAAATATTTAATATTAATTTGATAAATAATTAAATAATTTTTCCCATAGCAAGAATTACTCCTACAATTCTTTTTTGAGCAACCCTGTACAAATTAATTTTTTTTATTCAAAAGTGTACTGGCTCGGATAATCACAATAACACTAATATTTCATGCTTTTCAAGTTTTAATTAAAGATCACAGTTTTAACAGCAAAATGGCGAAGTTTTAAATATTATCTCGGGAAATTATCCTAAACGTCTGTGAAATGAGTTGTAAACGCATAAAACCACAATATGAACAAAGAAAACAAAATCATTAAATAAAGTATCATTTTGTTCCATGTAGAACTAATTCTAGTTGACACGACTACAATTGATAACTTTACACCAATACACATCCGAGTCTTTTTTAATAAAGCAAAAATCAATATCCTTTCACGTCTCCTGAATAAGATGCACTATACTATAGTTGACAGGAATTTTATTATATTCTTATTATGAAATAGAAAATGTAAATATTACTGACTTTGTAAAGGAAGAGCTATCATGTTTATTTTATAGAACACCATGTTTTTTGTCCAGACATCTATTTGTATTAAATATGTTGGGAAATATTGAATTAGTGACATGCTGCATGTTAAGTCGATTTTCAAGACGTAGAAAAAAAAAGAATTAACAAAAATATCGAACTCTAAGGGTGAAGTCCATAAAACCTGAAAAAATCAAAAGTTAGACTATATCAACAAACGGAACGAATGGAAAACAACTGTCATATTCCGGAATATATTTATATGTGATCTAGTCAGTAATTATTGAAAAACACAAACCATGTATACTTGAACCTGGTTTCATAAGAGAATGTCTTGCTGTTAGAGCTTTACAGATCCAATACATTTACAAATTATTGGATATAGTTTAACCCAGTTTTAAAATGTTTGATTCAAAAAAATATTCATTAGTCAAGTTTCTATAAAAGTAAAATATATCAAGTATACACACATTTTAAATAGGAGTTGGAAAAAATAACATATGTACCGAACTCCAAAAGTAATTAATGTTATTAGCACGATGTAAGTTCTTGAAATGTTCCGAATCTAGGGGTGTCACAAAAGAAAGCGAATGTTGATTATACCACAGACTAACTCCTTTGTTTAAAAAAACATATATTTTTGTAAAAACTGAGCTTAAATATGTTTGTTCTGTTCGTATTTATTTTCCCTCTATTTGACCTATACCAGAGACTTTCCACATTTTATAAAGTATCTATACAATATTTATACATAATGTCAATACGTTAATATAGTTAGGTTCCCTTTCATCCCTTGATATGTTTTCTAGACATTAGCTAAAGCTCTTAAAGGTACATTAACATGCAACACATGCTGCATACATAATTATAAAACCAAAATTAAAATGGACCTTTTTGTGCAACTTTAGCATAAAACGCTCATCCATCCTTACCTTAACCAGTGCTAAATGAATTGCATTGATTCAAACATAAAATTAATAGCGTCATTAAACAGTAATCATAGAAAAACTTGATCAAAGCTTGGTTCAAGTTTAATGTTAAAAGGTATTATAAGAAGGTCATGTTTGGTATTATTTTCCCGTCAGGTTTGATTGATCATTTGTTGCCTAAGCGATCGATCCCGACCCTAGCTTCCTCGAAAAAGAAATATTTTACAATTTAGTGACAATGTTTAGCGAGTGGTTATGATACGCAATGCCAGCTATTATCGGATTATCGGGGAACGGTTACAGAGTCAACGGTACAAATTGCATCACAATATAAAAGATAAGAACTCCACAAAGGGAGTTAATTACTTGATTTATCACTAACACTATTTACGGAAGTTGTTCATGTAACGGCAGGATTAACTAAACAATCAGGTGCGCGGATCGACAGGGCTATTATACACTGTGCAATCGGATCGTGTGTCAAAATGACACTGTTCGTTTGCTGTTCAATTTTCTCTCAAAAGTCGCTTAAATTTATTTATTGATAATTAAACTAATCAATTGTCAATTCCTTGTATGTGATTGCTTATCGAGCATTGATTGAAATACAAGACAAAGCGTAATGAAAAACGACAAAGTTTAAAAGGAATTAATTTTTCATGTTGACGGAAAATGGCGAGTCAAGATGTGTCGGTGTTGTACGGTTACAAACTGTAAACTTAATTATAATCAAGAGCAGTAAATGTTAAGTATATTTGGAGGGAACTGTAATTATTGAGTATACAGTCATGTTATTAACAGTCGAATTATTTTGTAAAACAGGTCAAATCATTGATCATAAGAAATGCAGGACTTGCATTCAGCTGTGATCACAAAAAGAACCTTTAATCTTACTGTTTAGTCTTTAGTAGAAACAACGTTCTGACTTTCATCTGCTCCACAAGGAAGCAACATTAATGAAATTGCCCATGACTCGCCCCAAAGGCAGGCCACCACATGGGTATTAAATGGCGGCTGATCTTTTTCACAAAAGTTTCCACCTCGTTAATTCTGAAGTAATGTTATGCTTACAAAGATCAGATTTAAATTCAAAAGAATATTGTTCACAGATGCGTCCCGGGTCACGCCTTCTGCTTTTCAAAATGTGCACCCCGTGCCCAGACTGATAATTTTAACATAAACTGATAACACATACAGGCTTGAATATTTAATAAGAAGGGTGTTTCGCCTATAAACCTTAATTGCTAGTTAAATAAAAACTATCAATGCAGACAAATAGAAATGTCAGTCTATATATATCATATATTACGAATTTAAAATCATATCTCATTTCACGATTGTATATAGTTTGGTATAAAATCTTGTGATGTCTGCAGTCTGTCGTTATTATATATAATTAAATGAACCGTTTACAATATATGAACAATCAATCGTAAAAACTAGTTTCATAATATTCAAATCTATTCCATAATCTAAGCTATTAAGGAGAAATATATGACTCCATGTGTAATCATTTTACCTTTAAGGTCGACACTGCACAAAAGTACTTGTTTATTTTACCGGGATGTCATGGCAGAGCAACGTATTGTGAAAACACAATGTTTTTTTGACACAAATCTTTTTTATTGTAATATATACACTTTTATAAATAGTAAAGGACAAGGAATTACAAAAAAGCAGCAGATGTAAAAAAAAATTAAAATAAATAACAGAACAATGGGGTGAGGTGATTAACTTTCATTTTGACATCATATCTAATAAATAAATATTGAGCCATGATGTTCATCTCTGCTTTGAAATGCTTATAAATTTTAAGTTTAATATCAAGATTATAAGTATGTACTTCCCAATGGTTTGATATAAAGATAATGCTTATAATTAGTCATTGATGAAATAGTTAGAATCTCTATATGGAGTTTTGTATACTTATGACGTTGTTTTTTTTTTTAGATACCTGCGGACTAACTGATATGAACCACGTTGACAGTATTCAAGAGAAATCACAGTGTGCCCTAGAGGAATATGTTCGGAGTCAGTACCCAAACCAACCAACCAGATTTGGTAAACTACTCCTCCGACTTCCGTCTCTAAGGACTGTCAGTTCACAAGTAATTGAGCAGTTATTTTTTGTTAGATTAGTTGGGAAGACACCAATAGAGACATTAATCAGAGACATGCTTCTAAGTGGAGGCTCATTCAACTGGCCATATATGCCGCTCCAATGACTATAAAAGATTAATATGTTGTCGATTGTGAACCATGGATGTATGATTTAATTGTCAAGGGTATTTCAAACCCACTGCAATTTTTTTACACAAAATATAATGATTATCAATTAAATTATAATTGAACATCTATATATCTTTTAAATGTAAATTCTCCGAGCTTAGGCAAATGTCCATAAAGTTTTCTCAGTAGTAAGATTAAAGAAATCACACCCATTCCCAAAAATGTCGTATTTTCATGGTTCAGAATAGCAACAAATAAAAACTCAACCTAGTCTTTCTGTCAAACGAAATGTTGTTACAAATTTTGAGTTGTTGATTAATATAATCTTTTTTTTAAAGTTCAACATACTTTAGATTATTGTTGATTTTTTTTTTGGTTTTGTATAAGATAATTTTGTGTTTTTATTTTACATTAATGCATAATGAAGAACTTTATTCCAAATACGCATATATAAGGCATATTGTGTTGCTAACATGGACTTCAATGATGGCAACCTTTGTGAAATGGGCAGCAAAAGTGCTTCCTAATAATTGCTTTTGTTTACTAGCAGTATCCATTTGCAGAAGATGATTTGTTTTGCTATATCATTTATTTTGTTTGAATATCATTTTATATTTACCTTTTAGTGCTATCATAATAACATTATTTAACCGAGAACTACGCACAAGTTCTAAAATCTGAGTGTTAACATTGCAGGGCAGCTTACAAACAATGTAAACCGTTGCAAAATGCATATTCATTTTTACAAAGCATTGTAATCATTCATTTATACATTTAGGTTGTAAACCAGAATCTAGTTTGTTGAAATGCAAGTTTAATTTATCCGTATAAAATATGGTTTCTTACAGTTAAAGTCTCTCTAGAAATATGGTTAATTAATACAGCTAAAACAGTTAATGTACCTCTAGAAAAAAAAAGAAAGAAAAAGAAAAGCATTATGCAGAAAGAACAAACAATTCATAATTCAAGAATGAAAATGACTAATGTTTAGTCTTAAGAATATAAATGATTATTCTCAAAAGAACATGCAATTCACTATATATACATATACCCATCATGTAAAGGTGTTGTATAACTGGCGGAAGAATTCTATTACGCGGTTTCGCGGAAGCGGTATTTTTAAATTTATCTGCATTTCAAACAAGCTAGAATCAAAAGACTGTTTGGATCGTAGTCAATTCCAGGTTAGTGTGTTGCGATGCAGTCACCCCCAGTCATTTATAGTGTTGTAGATATTTTCTTTGCGGCAAAAATATGAGACGAGAAATTAAACAAGCCGTGTTTTGTATTAATGTATGTCTTTGTGTTTTGTTTTGTTATTTTTGGTTCAAAACCAGTTTTTATTTGTACATTTACTCAGTAAACAGTTTAAGAGGAGTATGTTAGTGTTTACTTAGTGAACATATTGTACACAGTCACTATATAGAGAGAAATAAAGTTGCTCCGACAAGGTAGTTTAAAACATGCATTCCAAGAACTTATATATAAAAAGTACAGCTCTAAGCTGTTGAAGTTGTGTTCACCAGATAAGATTAAACCAAAGTGGTTATCTCCCTTGTTTAGGCAATGACTATGTTACGTGTTTTGCTATGTGTGACATTATTGTCAAGTTATCTGTGTTGTGTAGGTGTCTCAGACACCACAATTTATCCATTGCTTAAAATTTAATTAAAGTGTTGTAAACATATTTGTGTTTTATTGTTTTTTTTTCTCTCCTTATATGGCTAGCTTCATATTTTGATTAACAAAAAATTGAGATCTTGATTTCTCAAAGCAAAAATCAGAATGAACTCTTTAATTTTAAATTACTTGGCTACATGTGAATTGAATAATCAATTATATGCTTTACTAAGTAATTGTTTTCTATAATGGTATAAATGAAGTATATTAAAGCATCTCGTCGACGAATAATCATCTTATTTTTATCCAAACCACAAAAGTAGCATATTGGACAGGTGAACATGTATGTGACAAAGTTCTTGAAAACCAATCGTCAGACATGCTAATGCTTAAAGATATCAAAATTAATGCCCACATGCAGTCTTGAACACAATGATACAGTCGCGATCATTACCATTTATACAAACAAATCTACCAAGATATATACAAATGAATAAATATTTCAGCTCCACATACTTAAAAATATGTATTTAAATGCGCCCACCAACTCTTGAAAAAAGGAAAATTAAATATGAAAAACTTGTTAAACAACGAAGCACCAAGCTTCAAATCCTGATCATAACTCCCTTAGTAGAGCATTTTACGGAGGATGAAAACATGGCACAAATAACATTAAATTTCATGATTTAGATTGAATTTGCGATCATTGAGATGCATCTCTTGAGAAACCAGTAGAGATCCTTAGGGAAAAGATGTGGTCACTAAACCACAAACCACGACACAATGCACGCTAACACAATTCAATTGTAGCTGAGTAATTGTGATCGTGTTATTAAAACACTTAAAAATGAAAAGATGAAAAGTCAATAATACTTTTATGTCGGAAATCATTTCAAAGGATACAAAAAATGACAACGTTTAAAATATCATTCATAAGAATATGCATGTCTTCATTAACAGGGAATGGTGTTCACTCAGAATACTAATTGGGTAATTTTCTATTTTTAGATATGTAAATCTATATTATTGAAACAAATTATTTTTGATTTGCAAAAAGTGTTTTCATTTTCTTTTCAGTATTGGCTAATAATACATGAAAAATGGGTCTCCATTTGGTCAGAGATTAGTTTTTTGAAGGACAGATGGGCAGTTTTTTGTTCAATAGAAATCCATAGTTTATACAAAATGACACTTAATTATTCAATTTTCTTTCAACTTCTTTATTTACAAATTATAATTGGTTAGCTTAAGTTATAAAAATAACTTGATCTTTTGTGTTTTATCGGAGAAGAACAGAAGGAAAGGTTAAAGACTTTTGAAATTGTACAATATTAAAGTCTTAAGTGTTTTCATATCTTGTCTTCAGGAACAATGAATTTCTGATAAAATTTCTAAATTAGAAAAATTCATGCAAGACGATAATTATTGAAACTTTGGTTTGAATTTGATATCATGATGAAAATATAAAAAGTCGAGAATTATCCATGTATCGTAAATATACTTCAAAAGAGAACACATTAAAATTTATGAAACTTTGTGGTAGGTTAACTGTTTTGCATTCCTGATGAGAGTGCTTCGAATACAACAAATTCGACATGACTAGTAAGCATGTGGATGTATGTACTTAATATCAAATATGAATAAGGATAAAGCATACTAATCTTTTCAACAAATTGAAAGCACATTCCGATAGAATCAACCCCCTAAAAAAAACCCCACAAAGAACACTTTTAAAATTAAACTATTTGAACAGTTTATCAGAATTGTGATGAGCCAAAAACACCAAAAAGTTACTATAAACATGTAATTTACATAAAGTAATTTGTGAACATGTGACTTTTGGGGCTGCATGTGTAGGTATTAAGTTCTTACATCTGTTTTGTAATATGTCTGATAATGTGAACACAGTATTTCTAATGAGATTAAAATATCGACATAAAACATATGGGCGGATATATTTTGCAAAATAATTCAATATTAAATTTTGCTGTTAAATCAAGTGTTATTTTTTCTACTTTGAATGTTTGCAACTATAATTTTAGGTCATGATATATTTTCTTTCTGTACAATCTCCGTTGTCAGTACGATTTTATATTTATATTCTATGAATATGTTTGTTTGTCATATGTAATTATTTATACTGCCACGACATGCAGACATTATGTAACAGCAGATACAATAAAGGCCAAATGTTGTCAGGAACCTTTAAGATCTTTATTGTTTTTTAACTTGATGCCAAGTGACATTTGTGTAAGATCAGCTGTATAGCCTCTTAACTGAGCGAAGATGATTGAATTTTAATTTGTTTTGCTTTACGTATTTAATTAATGATTACATACATTGATCACAGAAACATCATGCAGTTCATACTATAATATTATAAAAATAACATTTCCGACAGGTTTTCAAGACAAATATTGAATAATCAATTGGGAAGTTTTCTACTTTGGTAGATATGTAATGATTAAATGTAACAAACACATTACTGCCCAAATTTATGAAACATATGTAAGACCCAATACAAACAGATACCGAGAATAGAAAGGGGAGGGTTGAGTAAAAAAACATATTTTGTCCCGCTAGATGTTGTTAAATGCACTGTCCGAATGGAGGAATCTCGTTAATTATTGTCTATTTTGCCCAGAACTTAGCTTGTTTGCCTGTTCAGATATTTGGTGATGATAGCAGATCTGTAGTAGTTTTTGTTTGATATTTATAATATTGCTATTTACATCTTAACATAATATGATACGGGCACTTGTCTTAGAACATCCTTATTTGGTTATATTGTGTCGTTGTTGGATGTATAATTTTTGTATACCCGAAGCCTCCTTTTGTTAATGTTTTTGGTCTAGTATTGATGGGATTAACTATGCATAAAACAATTATCCTATTGCATTATTATCAGTAATCAAAAGTGGGCTTTATAGAGTTACTGTGAAACTACCTACACTCGAGGTGGTGAGGATCAGATATAGGTTCTAAAAATTCCATTTGGTTTTACTTGCATGATCAACAGGACTGATGTCATATGTGGATTTAAATGTTGTTCATTTTTATGAACTCCTAAAACAAAAATGCAGTACCGTCTATCTTTCTATCCATTATTGTTCGTCTTGTTGATAGCTATCGCGAGGTTGTTGAAGAAGGCGCCGTTGAAGAAACCCCTTTTTCCTTATTGAGTGACACATCCTACATACACTTACAAAATGGCAGAAGCCCTGCAAGTGGAAGACTTGGAAATCTAAATAATCTCTATGGTCTCCAACACCGACAAGCTTTGTTAGTGGGCGATTTCCGTCTTGCATCCGTGTAGATGTTAGAATTTGGTTAATTTTAATCTACAGCCAGTTGCAACCAGGTATGCTGAATTAACTATAATATCTTATATCTAACAAGGTGTTCTGGGAAATCATACATGTCTGTGCCAATTCACAAAAGTGCGTGTTACTTTCAGATTTGTATATTAAAAGAAACGGGAAGATATTGATCGACAACCTTTGATGATCATTCTTAATAAATATTTGTATATCGAATTTGAAGAGGTTGAATTTCAATGTCAGTGGTTGCATTTTTATCAGTATAAAGTTTTATCTTTTAAAATCCTAGTACTTGAATCACTTATCACACTATCTAAATATTCCCTTAATCTAGTTATATCATCTCATTTCTGCATTAATAAGGCCTTTCAAAGGGTAACCATGCAGTCAAAATGTCATTACTAACTTGAACTTTATGTAATAGTAAACAGTCAACGAAGAAATAATTTTATGGTAAAACCTATAAAATTCTAATGCAATGCATGACGAGAGTTTAGTGGTTTGAATAGTTATGTCATACTAACATATGGTGCATTCATCAGACAGGTCGATCTTCATTTACGGGGCTACTTTCAGGACAAATCAATTGGCTAAGGTTAAAAAACTCTCGAAAGGTATTTGATATCCGATCAAAGGGATATTAATGCATCTTTAGTAACGTTATTTAACAAAAGAAATAGTAGAGGAAGTATTCATAATGTTTGTACTTCAGTCTATACTTTTTAGGGAAATATTATAAATTTAGATTTGCCTATCAGACAATTTCCCCATGAGTACCTCTTCGTTTTCTTATATCATTTAGTCAACACATCATAAGACCTATGTGCACATCATGCGTAACCTTTGCATATATATTTAACCTGTGGGAAAATTAAAAAGAGCAAAGTTGTAAAGCTTGTTGAACCGCTTACAATATACATTTTAACTTGTTACAAGAGGCTCAAGAGGGGTAAAGAGAACAGCAATTAGTTCGGAAATGATGATAATCGACATCCGTAATCAAAGTTAGCAGAAACGAAGCACATTTATTGTTTCCTGCCTTGCGTTCCTGGACGTAATTATACGGTAGTTCATTCATTTAAGTATATCATGAACGATATATATGGTACATTCATATATACTTGAAATTAATCCTTAAAACATCATAACTATAATGTCTTTCTTATACATTGTAGACAGATGTGATAACTTGTTTTAGTGTAATTCCATGTCAGAAACTAAATGTTTGGTGTATTCTTAATTACTTAATTAATTACTTCGTTTAGGTTTCAAAACAACAAGAACATGACAACTGCTGTTTCTGGTGGGTGAGAACTGAAAAACATACGTTGCCATTTAGATCTGTACAAACATTTAAAACTAAACTGAAAATGGAAAAAGAGGATACGAAATAACATTGCTGTCTGAAATGTATCGTCTTCACCCAATCTTTCACCTTTTCATCGAAGAAAATGTAATGAGTGCAACATGTGGAAAAGTTGTTTCATTACTAGTGTCATATGACTTAGAGTTCATGTTTTTGAAGCCTTATATCTGTATATATATATATATATATATATATATATATACAAGTCTAAATTGAAAACAACGTTCAAACCTATGATTGCGTTGGATAAAAACCGCAATTTTTATACGTGTGCATGTAAAACAAATTTCTTGGTAGAGGGGTCTAAATACAGCACAAACAACATTTTCCAAAAGACCAAAATAGTGAAAAAGTATATTTTAACAAACCGCATTTGACTAA